AGAAAGGGGGTCTTTCTTCCGGGCTGCCTGCCTACTTCGGGGGTTGCCCTCCCCCGGTCTGGGTTTGATGCCAGGATGAGGCGCGGGCCCTTCCTCTGTTTTCCAGAAGGTCCTTCTCTCCCCACGCCGCGCTTCCCGAAGCCAGAAGATCAGAGGCCGCCTCCTGCCCCGTTTAACGATTCCTCCTCCCCAACTCCAGTATTGCCAGCACTGACCTGCAAGGGCTTCAGGGAGGGGGCGGGTGGGGGAGGATCGCAAGGAAAGTTCGCTTGCTTGTAAGGCACCCAGCCGCGCTGGGGGCGGGGGGGGGGCGGGAGAGACCTTTTGGCCCCGCGGCGGCGGTCAGTCGCGGCTATGAGACCTCGAGAGCTCTCCCCAAAGGGCCTCCCGTGGACGGACCCCTTGCCCTGCAACCGGAATCGGAGGCTCCGCCAAGCCAGGCCGGCCAGATGCGTCTGCAAAGCAGGGAAAGAGCGCAGGGGGAGCTCGCGGCTCAGATTCAGGCCGGACCTGTACGGGTCTCCGACAATGAAGCCAGTTGTTTGAGTCTGGAAATCCAGGGCCGAGGGCCTCTGGGCGTGTGCGGAGTGTTTTTTTCTGGCATGCCCTAATAAATGGATCCGATGAAATCGTGCCACGCCGGGCAAGTTGTGAGACGCGCCGGGGAGGGGAAGCTTTCGTCGAAGAAAACCTTCCTGCGGGATTCGGCCAAACCCCCAACGGTTGCTCTCTGCCTTCTTCAGATACGTTTTATTTTATTTTTATTTTGAGCTTCCAGTCTAACCCCGGGGTCATCCCCGAACACCCCCCCCCCAACCCTAACCCTAACCCTTGTAAGTCCGCGGTCCGACAGAATCAGCCGCCGAAGCAGGGCCAGCTCCGGGACTCGCGGCCAAGCGCCCGAGGAAAGGCGCAGGGCGATCCTCTCATTCCCGTTCAGTCTTCGGGGTGACCTAAGGCAGGGCTAGCCGAAACCAGCCCAGGCGCGGTGCGCAGGCAAGGGCCCGGGGAGCGCGGGTGGTCGCCCGCCCCCTTCTGCGGCCGGGAACGGGTTGTGCCGGGAACGCGGGAGGCTTTGAACCTGCGGTTGGGGCGCCTGGGCAGCGCCCTTCTTAGCGAAATTAGCTGCTGGGCTGGGGATGATGGAGGCTGCAGTTGACAGTCCAAAGCCTTCTGGGCTGGGAGTCCTGGAGAACTAACGGTCCCTCGTCCGAAGCCTAGAAGCCTGAGTCGTAGCTCACCCTCCACCCCAACGATCCCTGGTCACTTCCGTGCGACTTGGACTCCTTGCAGGGCGACCCTGATCTCCTGAGTGGGGCTGTCCGCTCACCGCAGGCCCCCCAAAAGCTGTGGGGAGGCTGCTGCAGCCTTTATAGGACTAGAAGGGCCCGGCTGTTAGTCCCGGAGACGTGGTATAAAGATCATGCCCTGCCCTGGATCCCAGGGGCTCACTGCCGAAGTGAAGGAAGTGCCCCCTAAGTTCCTGCAATGTGGGGGGGACGACTACAGACTAGCCACGCGTGGGGGACGTCCTTTTTCATCATCTATTGATTTAGTGATTATTCAATCTCTGCATCCCGGGAGTCCCTGCCTTAGGAACCCCTGCGCGTGCCCCGGAGGGCTCCAAGTGGGGAAACGGATTGGGAAGCAAGGGCGCGGCTTCCTTGCCCCCAAACTAGGCAGGCCGCCCCAGAGCGGGCTGCTCCCCTCCCTCCCTCCCTCCCTCCCTCCGTACCGGCAGTGCGTGTCAAAACTCGGACTCTTGCCGGGCCAGATCCTACTCCGAACCCCCGGATGCCTTCACGGCATTTACTCGGGAGTAACCATCTTCTCTTCTCAGGAGGGCCCCGATGGTTTCGCGCAGCGTTTGTTGCTGCAACTTTCCGCCGCCGACCGTCCCCGACGGTCTTGGCATCTCCTATGAGGGAGAAGCGGCGAAAGGACCCTCCGACCCGCCACGGTCGAAAGAGTTCCCGACCAGATTTTGCCCCGGGAGACCCCGCCCCACGAAAACCAGAAAAACTGCGACTGCAGACGTGACGTCCCGCTGAACCCCTGAAAGGCTCTGTGGCGCCCGGGCCGAGGGAGGGGGGAAAGATTCCCGCGCCTCTTTTTCCAACCCGTCCGTCACCTCGCTGCCACAGCTCGAGGGTGCCCGATTCAAGAGGGGATTGGGACCGCTGCTCCAATTGGTTCCGCGGGTCCGAAACATCTTGTAAGGGAGCCCGCTGTCCGGGCCTCTGGAGCAGGGAACGTTGCAAAGCGAGCCCTCTGCCCTGGCCTTCCCTTTGGTCGCACGCGAGGAACGGGCGGCTCAGCCTCGGCTGCTCCGCAGCACCAGGGACAGCTCCGTCCCCGCCGGCCCGGGGTTTTCCGGATGGAGCCGCCGGCCCGCGAAAGAGAGCTCCGTCACCGGAGGGAAGGAGAAATCGTTCGGCGCGCCCGGGACAAGCGCTCGGTGTGGCGGCTGCGGTGAGGAGCGCGGAGCTGAAGGGACTCTTCCAGACAATCCCTGTTTGGCCCAGGTGTCCGGGAGCGCCCGGTTCCTCCAAGGTGCGCCCTTTGCGAAGAGACGGCGGGCCGGTTGGGGCAGGGCGGCAGCCAGATCATAATTTGGGCATCGAGCGGTATAAGAGACAGGCCTAATGAGGCGCAGGAACAGGGTTAGGATTAAGGTCCGGGGTGCCTGCTGGCCAACGGGAAAGGAGAAGGGACCCCGCTGACCGCGAGGGTGGGTGATTGCTTCAACTCGATCGGTTCTCATCCCCCTCGTTGACACTCCCCCCCCGACATCCCGGTGAGTAGACAAACTTTCTCCCGCGCGAGAAAAGTTCTTGCCACGCAGCAACCGGCCCAAGGAGCCAACACGCAGCCTGCCCACCTGCCGCCCGAAGAGGGACCCACCTGCCAGGCCGGGAAAGGGATCCGGGAAGTGCAGCGGCGGCTCCGGGCCTCCTTTGTCCCGGGCTGGAGACAGCTCTCCTCTTTCCAGTTCTTCTGCCCCGCTGCGGCGGCGGCAGGGGGGCTCGGCGCTGCTTCGACCAGCGACCGGCAATTCCTGCGGCGGGTAGAAGCCGTCCGGGGGCTCCCCGAAGCTCGGCAAGGCGGTGGTGAGAGCCACCATGGACGGGACGGCTTGGCCGAGGCTGGCGCAGAAAGAGTTGCTGAGGCGGCCGGCGAAGGAAGCCAGCGGGGCCAGCGGGGGCAGCCCGGTAGCGGCTTGCAGCGGCCCGTGGGGCAGCACCAGCGGCCGGTAGGGCATGAACATCGGGTAGCCGGTGTAGAGCAGCGGGCCGGAGCGCGGGGCGGGCGGCGAGTGCCCGATCAGAGAATCGATGGAGAAGGCGGCTCCTTGGCCGCTACTTGGCCTCTGCATGGCGGCGGCCCCGACCCCGCCGGCACTTACCGGCCCGGCTGACCCGCCGCCAGAGTCTCCAGAGCGACCCGGAGCTCCAGCCCCGGCGGAGGCACGGCGGCTCGCTTTCCGCCTTTGGTCGCTCGGCCGGGGCCCTTCGACGGAGCCGCCGCCGCGCCGTTCCTCCCGCTGCCGCCCTGGCGCTTGGCTGGCGCTGTCTGCCGAGAGAGGGCGGGCGGGCGGCGGGCGAGGAGGGAGGAGATGGCAGGGGAGGGGGAAGGGGTGTCGCCCTGCCTCCGCGCTCATCCATCTTCCTCAAATTCCGCTTGAGTTCCCCCCTAGAGCCGCCCGCCCCGCGGCCGGGCCAGGGAGCAGCGGCGGGTTCCCACTGGAGCGGCCAGGGGGCCCCTGGGAAGCGCCGCCCCCTCCCGCCTCATCAGCCATTATGACTGGTGATTGATGATTGCCAATTACCGGCCGGGCGCACAAGGGGCCTTTTGTCGGGCTGGGCGGGACCAGCTGCCCCGCGGGCGGGCGGGGGTGGGGAGGGGCCCCGCGGGACTCTCCCACCAATCGACTCCCGCGGCATCGCCCTGGCCGCGCTCTCCTGTTCTCGTAGCAGGACTGACGGGGAGCGGATCTCGTCGCTGGCCGGTCCTTGGGTCGCTCGGACTTTGCCTCTGCCCTTTGCCGCTATGCTCGCTGTCTATTCGGTCGCGGGGGATGGGGGTAGGGGGGAAGGCCCTCCTACCCAGTGGATCTCGGCACGCCGACCCATCCGAGCCCCCCCCCCCCATCGTTCATGTTCTCCCGCTCCAGGGCATCCGAAGCAGTGCCAGTCTACGTGCCACGGGTCTTGCCCCGGGTGTTGGGCGCTTCCCACCAGAGCTACTGGCCAGCACCCGAACATATTCTTTCGTCGTTTTTGGGGGTGGGGAGAAAATGCCCTGGCTCCGTCCACCGCTCTGTCTTGCAGAACCGAAGGGGAGGGAGCCGCCCCTCGAGCCCCTCGTCGCTGCCCTTTCCTTTCCGAGGCAGGAAGCGCCCGGGCCTCACCTGGTCCTTTGCCTACCTGTTGCGCCCAGACCTCTCCGAGGGGACCCCTGGGGACGCTCCGAAGGGCGCTGGGCGCCTCCCCGCGGCTGCCCTTCTTGGAGCAAAGAGCAGGCTGCCTGGGGGACAGCCAGGTGGAAGGACCGAGGCGGAGGATTCCTCGAGTGCTCAGACAAACGCCCCCCCTCGCTTCCCCCCTCCCGTGTCCTTTCGCCACTTGTTTCCCAGTCACGGCATCAAATGGACTCTGTCCGCCAAGACCCTGGGACTATGGCAGAGACGGGATTCCTGTCCCGAGAAAGGCAAGGGGCCGCGCCCTCTTTCAGTCACGCCAGGACACCCCCGCCTCCCATCGTTTGATCCGCCGCTGCCCCCCACCCCTGTCTGCCTCAAGGCGCCCCCTGCAAGCCGCATCCAGCTGCGTCCTGCAGCGCCGCCTGGCGGTGACCTGTGGGAGGGGCAACCAGGGTCGGCTTGTCTGGGAATCTGCCCACCCAGCAGGCTGCGGCCGGGCCCTTCTCCAGCGGCTGGGCCCGTCCCTCCTCTGCTCGTCCCGGGATCGGGGAGGAGACACACACAGCCACGCACCACGGAAAGGCAGCCTCTTTATTACACACCCGGGCAATCTACAAAAAAAGCAGGGATCTCTCCACACGCGAGAGAAAGGCTGGGTGGGGGGGGGGGGGGAGAAGAGAGGAAAAGGGGGGGGGACGGACGGATGAGAAGGGGGTTTCTCCGCGCCTGCGGGACAGAGCCTCTGCTGGTTTGCTTTCACCTGCCTTGGGGATTTGGGGTGAGGGCTCTGTCACTCTGGGGAACCAGTGCTCCGTCAGGGAGGCAGCCTGAATGGGTCCAGGGGCTGGCAAGGAGGCTAGTCCGGGATCGGTGCGTCCAGGCGTCTGGAGCTTCTACCTGGCTTGGTCTGCTCAGCCGTGCCGGAGCCGTGCCCGTAAAGCTGGCAAGGGAGGCACCTTGAGTCTTTCCGCTCCCAGCTCCGAGGAAGCGAGGCGCGGCACCCATGCGCATCCACGGCCTCTTTTTGTTTTATGGAATCTCTGGCAGATCGCTGGATCTTTCTTCAGGCTCGCCTCAGGGAGGTTCCCGCCGGGAGGGCGATCCTCCTTCACCGCCGCCTCCCTCCCCCCCCCCCGCGCCGTTCGGATCGGCCGGAGTGGTCCAGGCGCACCGGGTTCTCTGTGGAAGTGGGGGGCCCGCCATACCTGTCCGGCCTAGGCTGAAGGGCGAAGGTGCGGGCGCTTCCCTCGGCTGGGATTCCCAACTACCACCCCCGGAGTGGGGGCTGAGAAGGGCTAGTAAAGGATGTCCTCGAAGCGAAGCAGCACGAAGTGATGCAAGGCGGGGGGCAGTTGCAGGTGGGGCAGGGCCTGGAGGAGGCGGCCTTCCAAGCAGCTGCGAAGAGCGCACCTGGCCAGGTGTTGCAGGCTGCGAGGTCCCTGGCCGAGGGCGAAGAGGGACCGGAAGAACCGCGGGTGCTGCTGCAAACAGGGAAGCGGGGTTTCGTGAGAATGGGAAAGGCAACCCCGGCAAGAGAAGCCCCCCTCCTCGGGACCGCTCGGGCTCCCACGCCGACTCACCTGCACCAACTCTTCTGGGACAACCTGCTGCCAGGCCTCGGTGACGGGCACTCGGACGTAGCAGTTGAGCAGGGTCTCCACCGTGCGAGGGGAACCGCAGCAGTGGCGCAGCACCTGTGGGGAGGTGGGGGAAGAAGAGAAGGAGGGGCTGTTAGTGTTGAGCGCAGGCTGCCTGCCTCGGGCCCGAATGCCTTGGAAGGGTCCCCGCATGAAGGTGACGCTAAAGGTTGGGGAAGAACGCAGAAGTGGCCCCAAGAAGAGGCCTGAGGGCGAGAATTGCTTGCCTTTCCTTTGCTTTCCCGGGGTATCTACGAGCCCACCCACCCACACCCACCTCCCCCCTGGCAGGCCGCTGCTTGACCGGTGTGGCTGGTGACCCACGCTTGCCGTTCTCCTCCGAATTTTTTTAAAATGCCCAGTCTTAAGGATGAAGGAGGGCGGCCCTGCTCCACCGGCTACCCTGCTGGACCCTCCCCTATGGAATCCTGCCCCTCTCTTACCCCCGGATCTCGCCCGAACCTCACGCATTGAGGCAATGGAGCCTCGAACCCGGAGAGCCGAGTTGGCTTAGCAAAGTCAAGGTGCGCCCACATTTCCTTTGGACTTTATAAAGCCAAGCTTCTATATTCTGCCTCTCCACGAATCCTCCAGACAATTTCCTGCCCAGAGGGGACAGGAATCCAAATCCCGAAGTTGGCAGCTCCGTGACTAAGATCCCTAAGGCATGTGGACGGCCACTGAGCACTCTTTAGGTTTGCACGTCTGGACAGCCCTGCGCTGCCCAAATCGAGCCCGGGACTGCCATCTGTCAGAAATGGGGGGGAAGGGGGAGGAGACGGGGAGGGTTGGGCTAGATGACCTACAAGGTCCCTTCCAACTCTGTTCATCTGTTCTGTTCACGGGCCTGGTCGCCTCTGCGCCAAACGGAGCCCGCCGCGGCCTTAAGCGCGGCTGCCTCGTTGATCCCGGGGAAGCCGTGTTTGCTTTAGCTCGGTCTCCCCGGGAGCAGGCAACCACCAGCGTGGACTTCCCACGCCCCTTGCAGGCAGACCGGTCCCAGACCCACTGCGTAGTGGGAGAGGGGAGTTGGAGCCCGCGCGCCCTCGTCCCCCGGGACGCTTTGGAGGGAGCGAGCAAGCCGCGGCTCCTGCTAGGTCGTCGCTTCCTCGTCCCGCGTGGCGACCGGGTGCATACCTTGAGCAGCGCCCCCGGCCAGACGCGGACGGCGCCGTGGTTGAGCAGGTGGCGCACCACCAACTCCGGCCGGTGCTCCAGGCGGTAGGCCGCCACCTGCAGGGCGTTGTGGAGCGCCGTGTTGCCGCTGTAGCTCATGATGTTGACGTTGGCGCCGTGGGCCAGGAGCAGCGCCACCACGCGTGGGTTGGCGTTCTTGCAGGCCTGGTGCAGCGGACGCTGGCGGTCGCGGTCAGCGGCGTTTACCCGGGCGCCGGCCTCCACTAGCAGCCGGCACACCTCGTAGTAAGCGTCCGCCGCCTGGGCGGAGTGCGCCAGGCCGCAGGCGGCGATCAGCGGGGTTTCCCCCTCGGCGTTCTTGGCCTCCAGGGCGGCCCCGTGGCTCAGGAAAAGGTGCACGTGCTCCACCAAGCCCAGCCGAGCCGCCACGTGCAGCGGGGTGTCCTCTTCCTCCTCGGACGCGCAATTCACCACCGCCCCGTGGCTCAGCAGAAGGCGGGCGCACCTGGAAAGGGGGAAACAGCGGGAAAGGGACTGACAACGGCGGGGCTTTATTGCGACCCCAAAACTGGCGGGAACCACGGTCCGACCCCTTCCCCGAGCGCAGGCTCTTGCTCTGGGGTGGGTCGTTGGGTCCGCCTTTCCTTCTTGCCAGCCCCTCCCCCGCAAGGAAGGGCCCGGCCCAAGGAGTCCTCTTTGAGCCGGCATCTCAGGAGGGAAGGCGGACTCGAGGGTTGGTGAAGCCAGTGGTGGGTTTCAATTTTTTTACTACTGGTTCTGTGGGTGTGGCTTGGTGGGCATGGCTTGATGGGCTGGCAGGGGAAGGTTATTGCAAAATCCCCATTTCCTCCCGATCAGCTGGGACTTGGGAGGCAGAAAATAGATGGGGGCGGGGCCAGTCAGAATTTTTACTACCGATTCTCTGAACTACTCAAAATTTCTGCTACCGGTTCTCCAGAACTGGTCAGAACCTGCTGAAACCCACCTCTGCTCGAAGCCTCTTGCGCGGGGCTCTTCGGAGCAGCTGGAAGAATAAGCCCTCCCCTAGAGAGGGGTGCGGGTGCTCTTCCAAAGGGGAAGCAGATGACACCCCCTTTCGGCCCTACCGTCTCCTAAAGGGCCGCTCCCCACGCCTGCCTTTTATGCAGCGGGCTCAGTTCGTTCCCTCCCACCCCCTCGCGCGCCCAAAGTCTTCTTTTCCTATGAAACTACGTCCAAGGCCGAGCGCTGCCTCGGAGCAGAGGCTGCAGGAGTCAGTGTGGCGCGTGCCCTAGGGCTGCCCGCCACTCTCAACCGAGGGGAAAGGTCGGAGCGAAGCCTTTCTCAATTCCTACCCGCTTTTACTCCCCGTCCCTGCCCACCGGTAGCAAGGAAAGGCCGGCCAACTCGCCGCGGCCACGCCACGGAACAACTCCCTGCTCGACAAGAGTTACACCGATATCCAAGAAATGGTGGCATAAAAGCTTAAAGACAGGATGCCAAAGGAGAGACCGAATGAAATGCGAAGGACACAAATTAAATTATTATTTTTTACTTATTTTAAATAATTAAATTGAATTGTTCACTTGTCCTGCAGCGAATTGTCCCATGATGGTTGGCCGTGGCGAGTTGTCCCATTCAGGACGGCTGGATGATTTGGGGGGCTCAGAAGACGCCCTGGACAGCTCCCACTCGCGGCCTCCAGCGATGCTTGGGCCAAAACACTTTCAGCGAACGCAGAATGCGTTGCACCGCTTCGCGGGAGGCTGGGCGACGTCCCGAGCGGATGCGCCTGCCTTTCCCTTCGGATGTGGCCGTTCCTCTACTCGGGAAAGGGAAAGTCAAAGAGTCCCACCCGCCTCAGCCACACGCAGACCGAGCGGACTACCTGAGGGGTGAAGAGGTGGTGGAGAAACATTGCCCCCCCTTGTGGAAATCACCCCCCCCCCCCGCGCGCACAGAGCTCGCGAGCCTCGCGGCTGGTTCGGAGACCCGGGCTAGCGGTCTTCTTCCCGTTGGCCGCCCTTGCCCGTCTAGGGCTCCCCTGCCCGACACCGGAAAGAAGCCGGATCCAAAAGAATGCTGCGGGATTTGGCACGAGCCAGTGGATCCGACTCTTGCTTCCACAGCCTTCCGGCTGCCCCGTTTTTCAACAATTCAATAAGCCAAAAGGGGGGTGGGGGAAAATGCGGCAGGGAAACCGGGTTCTGGGGATCTAACGGCCGGGTACTTTCAAACGCCCCAAAGCTTCCCGAAGCCTCCTCCCCTCCTCTGCCGCAGCTAGCTGCTCAGGGCGAGTCCTCGGCTGTTACTCTGCGGGGCGTCGCCAGGCGGAGCTACTCACTCGCTCGAGCCGGGGTTCCGGCAGAGGTGGAGCGGCTGAAATCCGCTTTCAGAGATGGCCCGGGGGTCAGCGCCGAAAGAGAGCAGGAGCCGGACGCAGTCGGCGGTAGCCGCCGCGCAAGCCGCGTGCAGGGCGGTCTGTCCACCGGGCGCCAGATCCACCTCGGCTCCGCGCAGCAGCAGGTGGCGCAAGCAGTCCAGGTAGCCGCGGCTGGCCGTGATATGCAACGGCGTGGTGAGCTCCTGCTCGTAGGTCAGAGACCACAGCCCTGGGGACAGAGAGAAGGCGGAGGGTCAACCGGCTGAGCCATGGGGCAACCTCTGGGGGAGGGGGGACGGGCTTCCCAGCCCCAGTTCCCAACCCCCGCAGAGGGAGAAGGGCCGGGGCCGGGAGTGGGACTCTCCGCGTCCACAGCTGCCGGCCTCCCTTCCTCCGTTAAGCGGTCTCGCCCCGCGCACTCAGCTGGCGGGCACTGGAGCGGTACTGCTCCCACTCGTGGCCGTCGCTGGTGTCGAAGACGGAGTTGGGGCCCACGCCGCTCTCGGGGTCGCTCAGGCAGCAGAGAAGAGTGCAGCCGTCGCCCGCCAGCAGGGCCTGCCAGAAGGTCTGCGCCCCTCCCCGAGCCCTGCGCGTCGAGATGGGCTCCATGGCTGCGCCTCTTCTCCGGAGGGAGGCGGACGGTCTCTCCGTGGGGGCGGGCACTTTCTTTCTTGGGACACCTGGCCTGGCGCATGGGAAAGGGCAACACTTGGGCCGGCAGGAAGCGGCGTCCAAGTGAGGCAAGGGGAGCCTGCGCGGGGAGGCCGTAATCTCTCCTCTGGCCCCGTCTGGAAGGTCCCATAGCAATAAGCACTTCAATTTCTATTGTTTACCAGCCCCTAGAGCTTAGTCACCAGGTGAGTGAGAAACAGCAGCTGTGTTCACACAACCCGGGAAAGATCAGGTAGTGTGACTTGGTGAGTTTTTTGGGGGGGAGGGGAAGACGGGAGACCCCAAGCATTTTATGGGCTGCCCTTTGTCTGTTTGTTTCCTTTATGTGTCAACCAAGAAAATGGGTTAAGTGATTAATGAAGTTGAATAGGAAGGTTGGTTCTGGAATACATACCATTGTTGTTGTCGTCGTCGTCGTCATCATCATCATCATCATCATCAAACATGAAACTCATTCAACTGAACATTTAAAAATGTGTCACAAATACCATTGACTGGTCCTAATGGTTGAAACGGGTTGCTGCCAGCATCCTAGGTATCAACCAAATACTTTCTTAAGATGTAGGATGTTCCAAGAAGTGCAATTTTTTGCAGTTCTGCTGGTGTTATTGCAGGAAGCTGCACTTTGTTGATGTATCTTATAAAATTCTTGGACATGGTATCAAGTGCCCCGATGACAGTGGGTATCACTGTTACATGTTTCATCCATAGCTGTGTAGTTTTGATAACCAGGACATGCTATTTGGTGATTTTTTCCAGTTCTTTTTCTTCAACTCTGCCGTCTCCTGGTACAGCGATATCAATAAACTGTACGCTTTGGCCCTCGACAACCATGATATCTGGCTTATTATTATTAGTAGTTGTAGTATAAATTAGTAGAAAATATATTATTATAACTTAATAGAAATTATTATATTATTATAAATTATTATATTATTGGAATACAGTATTCCAATATTTGAGGGGCTGCTACAAAGAGGAGGGGGTCAATTTTGGAAAGCAACAGATGGCAGGACAAGAAACAATGGATGGAAACTCATCAAGCAGCCTGGAATTAAGGAGAAACTTCCTAACAGTGAGGACAATTAACCAGTGGAATTGCTTGCCCTTTTAAGAAGAGAATGGACAACTACTTGTCTGAAATAGTCCAGGCTAGGATCTCCTGCTTGAGCAGGGGGCTGGACTAGAAGACCTCCAAAGTCCCTTCCAGCTCTATTCTCACTCGGATTCTACAACAGAATTTGGCCTCCCTTCGCCTAAGAAGCTTAGCGTTGAGCTGCTTTTAAACAATAAATTTAGTTTAAAGATTTGTTGACAGTTTGCCTCAAGGAGTGTCCCCCCCACATCTTGAGATGGAGCAGATTTTGCCCCCAGTGGAGAGGCTGGGGAGGACAACAGAGCCCTGGCAACTGTTGGCTGAGATGGACAGGAACGGGCCCACTCCCATTGGACCCTCCTCTTCCTGGACAACCCCTGCAGTGAGGCAGCTCACTTCCAGCCCCTCCAGCCAGGCATCCTAGCAAGCCCCTCCTCCGGGTGGAAGGGACAAGCAGGTTGGTATGTCTGTGGCAGTCTGTGATAATTCGCCACAGCCAACGGGACAAGAGGACAAGAGTTATATTAATATCCAAGGTCTGTAGAGATTCTGAGACTTCCAGGTCATGGTTGTCCCAAAGGTGTTTTTTTCAGGAGGCCGCTGGACTTTCTGGTTTTTCTTTTTCCAGATGTTTCACTTCTCATCCCAGAAGCTTCTTCAACTCTTGACAGGATAGCTGTCTGCAAGGAATATAAATCCTTCCATTCCCTATCATCCTGTCAGAGCTGAGGAAGCTTCTTGAACAAGAAGCAAAACATCTTCAAAAAGAAAAAAACCCCAAAAAGTCCAGTGGCCTCCTGGAAAAAGCGTCTTTGGGTTAATATCCAAGAAATGGTGGAACAGAATCATTCAAGAAAGGACGCCAAAGGAGGGAAGAGAATGAAATGTGAACGGCAACAATCCAATTATTATTATTTAAATTTTATTTTGAATGATTCAATCAAATCGTTCAAACTGTCCCACGGCGACTTGGCCACAAAGAGTTGGCCTTGGGGGTGGGGGGGGGAGGATTTACAGATTACAAATTAACAGAGTTGGAAGGGACCTTGTAGGTCATCTAGTCCAAGCCCCCGCCCAAGCAGAAGACCTGACACCAATGGTGTATTGCCCCCAGTTCGGCCAGTTCTATAGAACCAGTAGTAAAACTGGTGGGAGGCTCCGCCCACTGATCCCGACGTCATCAGAACGCTTCTGCGCATGTGCAGAAGCTTCTACGCATGCGCGTACGGCCCTGTTGCAAACCGGTAGTAAAGGTAAGTAGAACCCACCCCTGCCCAACACCATTTTTGATAGACGGCAGGCAGATTTCAGCTGGGACCCCTGGATACTCCAGTTTGTAGCTAGTTCAGTGTCCCACCACGGGGGGGGGGGGGGTAGCAGCAGCACCTGCGCGGTCTCCTATCTTCCCTTCTGCTCTTACCCCATTTCTGACTGGTCCAGCGCAGATCCTGACCCTCGGCATGGATGAGCAGGTTGACCGTGGACCATTTGGTGAAGTGCCGCTGCACCTCAGCCAGGTCCCCCGTGTAGAGGGCATTCTGCACCACAGGATCCCGGCACTCCAGGGGATCCTCATGCACCCTCCTGTTCTGCAGGGTCCTGGCCATCTCAGAGCCCTCCCTCCTGCCAGGCCTTGGCTCCTCCCGCAGCTCCTGGAAGACCTTCCTGGAAGGGCCGGAGAAGGAGGGGCAGCGTGCCATGACCCTCCTGGAGGAACGGCCGCCTCCGGCAAGCAGTGGCCGAGTGAAGCCTCTCTTTGCCCCTGACACAACCCCTATAAATAGCTTTTTTTTTTTTTTGGCAGCCACAATTAGATCATCTGCCGGTGTGTTAAGGCTTCCCAAAATATATTCCATTTGTGTGCCAAGGCAGCCTGGGTTCCATGCCAAGCCTGGCCCTCTGGACGTCTGACAGTGAGAGCAACCCAGCCGTGGAACAGAAGTTGCCCTTCAGAAGTTGTCGGAGCTTCGTCACTGGAGGCTTTCAAGAAGAGACTGGACTGCCATCTGTCAGAAATGGTGTAGGGCCGTGATGGCAAACCTATGGCATGCGTGCCACAAGTAGCATGCAGAGCCATATCGGTGGGCATGCAAGCTCATCATGCGTGTGCTGGCCAACTGATTTTTGGGCCTTCTGGTCCCATTGGAAGTCAGCAAACGGGCCGTTTCTGGCCTCTGTAGGGCCTCCAGGGGGTGGGAAGGCTGTATTTGCCCTCCCCAGGCTCCTAGAGAGGCTCTGGAGCCTGGGGAGAGCAAAAAACAGGCCTACTGGGCCTACCATGCCATCACATGCTAAAAGCGGGGGGAACGCGGGGGGTGACATAATAGAATTTTGGGTGTGGGCACGTGCGACCTCCTCATGCGACCCCCACTTTTGGCACGCAATGGCAAAAAGGTTAGCCATCACTGGTGGAGGGTCTCCTGCTTGGGCAGGCGGGGTTGGACTAGATCAGGGGTGTCAAACTCAGGGCCCGCGGGCCGCATCCAGGCCACAGCGTGCTTAGATCTGGCCTGCAGTGGTCGCCCTGGAAACAGCAAAGGAATGGCCCACGGTGCCTCTGCTTGCCAAAACAGAGCTTGGTGGGTTTGCACACACCCCCACCCCTCCGGGCTTCGCTTTTGCTGGCCGAAGGTGAGCAAAACAAACGAAAAACAAAAGGATAAACGTTTCCCCTGTTGCATTTGAGCATGGAAGGAGGGGGAAAGAGGGAAAGAGGGAAGACAAAGAAAAAGAAGAATGGAAGATGGGAAGAGAGCAAGGAAGGAAAAATAAGGAGAGAGACAAAGGAAGAAGAAAGGAGAAGAAGAAAGGAGGAGGAGGGAGGGAGGGAGGGAGGGAGGGAAGGAAGGAAGGAAGGAAGGAAGGAAGGAAAGAAGGAAGGAAAGAAGGAAGGAAGGAAGGAAGGAAGGAAGGAAGGAGATAATAATGAGAGGGAGGGAGGGTCTGAGGGAAGTCCTGCCTTAGCACTTGGCCACAAGTGTCCCCGACAAGAGTGTCGTCGAGCTGGCCATGCCCGCTGCCCCCTGCCTACCGCCCCCGAGGTCAAACACAACCCTGTTGAGGCCCTCAATGAAATCGAGTTTGACACCCCTGGACCAGATGACCTACAAGATCCCTTCCACCTCTGTTGATCTGTTACTCTGTGGAGCCCAACCGACAAGTGGAGAGCATGGGAAATCACAAGCGCTTCCAGGCATGTGCAGAGGGGCCCCCACAAGCCACTGTCCCTGAGGGCCTGTTATCAACACCTGGGAAGATTCTAAGCACCTTGAAAGCAGAGGCCTCATTCGATCTTGTGGAATTACACAATCATAGAATATGACAATAGCCATAGCATGCCTGACTAGGTGGCTCAGTGGCTAAGACGCTGAGCTCGCCGATCAGAAAGGTCGGCAGTTCAGCGGTTCCAATTCCTAGTCCAGGTCTCCTGCGTGAGCAGTGGGGGTTGGACTAGATGAGGTCCCTTCCAACTCTGTTACCGTTAAACTTAGACTTATACACCGCTTCACAGTGCTTCCCAGCCCTCTCTGAGCGGTTTACAGAGTCAGCATCATTGCCCCCAACAGTCGCTTGTCTGAGATGGAATAGCTGCTTCTGGCTGAGCGGGGGTGGGGTGGGGACTGGACTAGAAGCTCATCTCTCTCTCTCTCTCTCTTTTATGCAGCGGAGCAACTGACAAGAGCCGTCCTGTGAGGGAAGGGAGGGGGAGGCTAATCATGTTTCCCCCATCACTTACGTTGTTCAATTGTCCTTTGTGTTACACCACTCAGGACCCGGCAGTCTCTAAATCCAATTAAGTCAGTTCAGTTTGAGAAGTCTCTAAACTTCTCCTCCTCCCCAACTAAAACCATTGGAAAATTGTCCCCCTCCCTCAAAACTCCCTGGTTTAAAGAGAAGGAAACAAGCTAAGGGAAATTCCATGCAGACGAGTCCAGTGCCCGTCAGGGGGGCTCGGTCATGTCACCCTTCCCCCCCCTGTCCTAGACTTTTTCAGCATGGAAATTGACCAGCTGGCCCTTCTCCCTTCTTCTGATATTTCCATGGTCTCCTCCAGGCCCAGCGATGCGCCCCCATTGCAGCCATCCTGGGATGATGTCTAGTCCCGTGGGAGCAGATGGCGGAGGTCTTGTCCATGCGCCAGGGCAAAAGATGGGCTCCAAAGCTGCCCAAGCAGGCTCCCCCTAGCTCACTTTAAGGGCAAGGAGGGCCTCTTGTGGCAGGGCAGAAACACCCCTTGCTGTCTGGGAGGTCGTGCCAGGCATTACGATGACCTTGGGTGGGGGGAGAGCACTGGCTGCAGCCCTTCCCTCACATTCTCTAGAAAGGGGCATGGCCACCGGGTAGGCAGAACTCCGGGTCCCTGAGGTGGCACCTCTTCTGGGTCCCTGAGGTGGCACCTCTTCCAACGCAGGGCCCCCATTTCTGAGGAGGGGGGAGGGGGCCCAGCCAGGAGGAGCTGGCCAGAGTCCTTGGACTAATTGATCCTTCATTGGCACAAGGGGCAGAATCCTGAATTTCCTGGCCAAGAACTGGCAGCGCCAGACATACTTTTCCCAGCCAGTCCTTTCGGGTTGCCGATGGGGCCATGTGCCAGGGGGAAACTGTTGCCCGGGACCCCCTTCCCATGGGCTGGGCAGCTGTGGAGGGCACTGCTTGGTTATGAGCTAGGCAGGTTTCCAAGGCCTCCACCCTTGGGGGTCTGACGGGCAAGGGGGAGAAAGGCTTCTGATGTCCCAATGGGCTCGGATTCAGGGTTGGATGCCCCCACCCCCCCGCCAGCCATCCTGGATGTTCCCTGCAGCCAGGCCCTGGTCCTGCCCATGCACAGCCTGGCAGGGGTTAGTGGGTCCTGCGAACCCCCCCCCCCCACCAGCCAGGCCTCCTGTCCAGTAGCCATGAGGGGTCTGGTGGGAAGAGGGGAGGCCAGATCGAGTCTATGGGCTCCCTCTGCCCTTGCCTGCTCAGCCGCCCTGCTTCCCTTAGGGCCCCCTCCCCACCAGAACAGGATCTGCTCCATTGCGTCTGCCTGGATCTTGGGAGAAAGGTGACCCCCATTAAGGGCTATGGGTCACAACAAGCAGGGTCCTTAATTAGCAGGCTGCCTCCCACTCTCCATTTCTGAACGAACTACCCTCCCCCACTTTCACCCAAATCCAGGCGGGGCCAAGAGATTTGATGGCTTTGCGGTTGAGCCACAAGGGGGAAGCGCCAGATTTTGGGTGGGGGTGGGGAATCACTTGTGGAGAGCAATTCCTTTCTTCCCCTCCCCCTACCTTCCATGCCCCCTCTGCTCAAGGTGGCCATGAGGCCCTTGGCATTTTGGACTCCCCCAAGAGCCCCCCTTCCCCACAAAGCCTCCACAGCAGTAGGGACAAAGGCAGGGCTGGATTCCTCGTCCTGGGCACCGTGCCAGGGTCATTCTTAATGTAACATGCCCACAGAGACCCCTTTGCCCTCCTCAGAATTGTGCATGCATGGCCGCCACAGGGGAGCTTCACTTCTTCTGCCCTGGCTTCTCCTGGTCCGCAGCCGCCGGGACATTCTCTGCCTCCTCCAGCTTCCTTCTGCCCAGAGGAGTTTTGTCGAACCAGTCCTGTAGGAAGACACCAAAGGGCACCTTCACCCACCGGGTGGCTGGATGGGCCCCTCTTGGCCTTCCCCGCTGCTGTCTCTGCCCTCTGGAGGTGGGCAGGGAAAGGCTGCTGCTGCTGCTGGCTTTATACAGGCGAACAGGGTGAGGTGCCCCCGGCCTTCCCCCTGTACCCTGACTTCTGCTTTGAGAGGAGGAGACGCTGGCGGAGAAAGAAGGAAGGCAACAGTGACCCCCACCAAAAGTGGGGTGAAGCAGGGGAAACAAAGAGGACCAGGCAGAAAAAGTTCTAAGGAGCTCTTTCATCTGGGTCCTCATTTTACCGACCTCAGAAGGACAGAAAGAATGTCTGTCCCCCATTGGGACAGACATTTCATCAGCCGAGGGCTCAGGGCAGGGGCGGGGGGGTGGCGGTTATTATAAAGGAAGGTCTGGATCCAAGGGAGACCACTGTTCCACAGATAGCCGGATGTGAGTCCCTCTTTGTGAAGTGGGGTCGTGGAGTACAGATGGGCCTGTTGGTCACGTACCTGGCTCCCTGCCACGTGGCAACGGCCCTGCCCGAGCTCCTTAACGTTATAGCCGAGGTGGCAGTGGGCACCCCCAGACTTGCCATCATGGGGGATTTCAACCTGCCATCTATCGAAACGTCTGAGGTGGCTCGAGAGTTCATGGCTTCCATGACGGCCATGGACCTTACTCAGTTAATTCATGACCCCACTTACACAGGAGGACACACTCTGGACTTAGTTTTTGTCTCTGGTCAGTGGTTGAGTGGCCTTGATATAGGGGATATAGCCATCGAACCCTTGTCATGGTCTGACCACTCGCTCCTTCAACTGGACTTTCTAACCGCTGCACCCTGCCGCAGGGAGGCGGGACCGACCAGGTGGTTCCGCCCCAGGCGCCTGATGGACCCTGATAGGTTCCAGATGGAGCTTGGGCCATTTCCTGAGATTCTGGCTCATGACTCGGCTGAAGACCTGGTGGCCGCCTGGGATAGTGCGGCTGCCAGGGCCTTGGACCGAGTCGTGCCTTTGCGGCCTCTGACCCGGCACCGAACTCACCTAGCTCCTTGGTTCTCCGAGGAGCTTAGGGAGATGAAGCGCCGGAAAAGACGCCTGGAGAGTAGTTGGAGGACCAGCCGCTCCGAACCTGACCAAACACTGGTGAGGTCTCATATTAAGACCTACCTAGTGGCGATAAAAGCGGCGAAAACTAGCTATTTTGCCGCTCTTATCGCGTCATCAGATAATCGCCCGGCCGCCCTGTTTAGGGTGACCCGCTCCCTCCTCCATCTGGAAGTGCGGGATGACCCCTTGCAGGGTCGAGCTGAGGATTTTGTGCAGTATCTGTATGACAAAATCGCTCAGATTCGGGAAGGGCTGGCCTCTGACTGGGTATGTCCAGACGGGATGACTGAGGCAGGTCTTGAGAGTGTTATCTGGGGGGAGTTCGATCCTGTGGCTCCCGAGGACATGGACAGGGTCCTGGGACGGCTGAACGCGACCACATGTTTATTGGGCCCGTGTCCCTCCTGGTTGGTACTGGCTTCCCGGGAGGTGACACGAGGCTGGCTCCAGAAGATTGTTAACGCTTCTTTGAGTGAGGGGGTCCTGCCGGCCGCTTTGAAAGAAGCGGTGGTGAGGCCCCTCCTCAAGAAGCCTTCTCTGGATCCGGCTGTTTTGGCTAACTATCGTCCAGTCTCCAACCTTCGCTTCATTGCGAAGGTTGTTGAGAGTGTGGTGGCGCAACAGCTTCCCCGGTACCTGGATGAAGCTGTCTATCTAGACCCGCTCCAGTCCGGCTTCCGGCCTGGGCACAGCACGGAAACGGCATTGGTCGCATTGGTGGATGATCTCTGGAGGGCCCGGGATAGGGGTTGCTCCTCTATCCTGGTGCTGTTAGACCTCTCAGCGGCTTTTGATACCATCGACCATGGTATCATGTTGCACCGGTTGGCGGGGTTGGGGGTGGGAGGCACCGTTTTGCGGTGGTTCTCCTCCTACCTCTCTGACCGGTCGCAATCTGTGTTGACAGGGGGGCAGCGGTCGACCCCGAGGCACCTTGCTTGTGGGGTGCCACAAGGGTCGGTCCTCTCGCCCCTTCTGTTCAACATTTATGTAAAGCCGCTGGGTGAGATCATCCGTGGCTTCGGGGTGGAGTTCCATCAGTACGCTGATGACACCCAGCTGTACATCTCCACCCCAGGCCACCCCAATGATGCCCTTAAAGTGATGTCCCAGTGCCTGGAGGCCGTGCGGGCCTGGATGGGGAGAAACAGGCTCCAACTCAACCCCTCCAAGACCGAGTGGCTGTGGCTTCCGGCGTCCCGATATAGCCAGCTGACGCCATCGCTGGCTATTGGGGGCGAATCACTCGCCCCCACGGAGAGGGCTCGTAACTTGGGCGTCCTCCTGGACGCACGGCTGTCGTTAGAAGATCATTTGGCGGCCGTGGCCAGGGGGGCTTTTTATCAGGTCCGCCTGATACGCCAGTTGTGCCCCTTTCTAGATCGGGACTCCCTACGCACAGTCACTCAGGCACTCGTCACTTCCCGCCTGGACTACTGCAACGCTCTCTACATGGGGCTCCCCCTGGGGTGCACCCGGAGGCTCCAGCTGGTCCAGAACGCGGCCGCGCGGGGGATTTTGGGGGCGACGAGACGCTCCCACGTGACACCTCTCCTGCGCGAGCTGCACTGGCTCCCGGTGGTCTTCCGGGTGCGCTTCAAGGTGTTGGTGACCACCTTTAAAGCACTCCATGGCTTAGGGCCGGGGTACTTACGAGACCGCCTTCTGCCACCAATAGCCTCCCACCGGCCAGTACGCTCCCACAGAGTGGGCCTCCTCAGGGTGCCGTCCGCCAGACAAGGTCGGCTGGCGACCCCCAGGGGGAGAGCCTTCTCTGTGGCGGCGCCCGCCCTCTGGAACAACCTCCCCCCAGAGCTACGTACAATAACAGACCTCCGGATTTTTCGTCGGGCCCTGAAAACCCATTTATTTCAACTAGCTGGGCTGGCTTGAGTCAAATTTTAAATGGATTTTAAATTGGAATGTTTTAATTACGGCCAAAATTATTTAATTATTTTAAACAGTTTTTAGATTTTGTATGTTTTGTATGTATGTCTTGTTTTTACTTTGGCTGTTCACCGCCCTGAGTCCTACATTGGAGAAGGGCGGTATAGAAATTTAAACAAATAAATAAAAATAAATAAGAAGGCTGAGTCGACCTTGAGCCGGCCGGGATCGAACTGCCATCCATCGGCAGAGTCAGCTTGCCATGCTGTGCTCTAACAGCCCCCCCCCCAATAATGCTTCCCTTTAGGAAAGGCCCACAGAGGGGGAGGGGAGGGGGTACCTGCAGCAGCTCCAGCTCCTCGGGGTAGATGGGGTCCATCCTGCCCAGCATCTGCAGGAGCTCTGCGGCCAAGAGGGGCTTCTTGGGCAGCTGCATGAGGCGCCGCTCGGTCAGCACCAGCTTCACGGCCTGCTCCAGGCTGCTTTGGCTGTAGCCATCTGACACCTTCGCCAGGGCGCTCAGGTCCAGGCTGCTGGAGACCTCCCCACCATTCCTCTGGATCAGCCACTGCCACGTCACTGCGGAGGGAGAGGGGAGGCAGGGGTGAAGGGCGGGGGGTGATGCTGCGGTCTCCCAAGCACCCGGCTTCTGTAGGAGGATGAGGAGGAGTGTGGGGGTCCTGGGTGCTCTCTGAGCCAAGTGGTTTTCTTGCAGACATTTCATGACCCATCTAAGTAACCTCTAGGGTTGCCAGGTCTGCTTCCAAAAAATAGCAGACAAGCAGGGTGGAGGGGGAGGGTTAAGTAGTAAAAAAATAAAAAAAAATTTTACAATTAAATTATATATTTTCTTACAAACATTTTAACACGTATTAAAATAATCACTTCAAAACTTTACTTAAAATTCTAAACATCAAATATATTATAATAATATGTAAAATATTAAATTACATTTTACTTTGCTGTCGTGTGTATTTTTTATTTGACTGCGCAGCTTTGATCAATTCTTTGTGTTTAAGGAATAATTCTTTAATTTCAGTACAACGTTGAGAAATATTAAAAAATATACAAAGTTCACTTCGAACTGATGGTACAAGCAGTCGGTTACATTCGTCAGTCCACAAATTTCCCATGACGCTGAAAATTCGTTCAACGTTTGCATTTGATACCGGAATTGATGCACAATACTGGAACAGTTTCAGTAAACTTGGAGCTGGCTCTTTCTTGAAAAAGTACGTCCACTTATCAAGGGATGAATCGCCCTGCAGATGAACATAAACTTCTTCTAAGGCAGAAATTTCATCGAAGAGAGTGTTGGGTGGAAGTTCTTCTCGCCATGGTGATAATAACCAGATGTTCGTCATTTCTTCTAAAGTTGGAGGATTATTGCGATCAATTAGATTGAAACAACTTAGCATCTCATGTACTGAATTGGTGAAATTATACCACTTTTCTAGGTACGCAATGGCTCTTTGATACATGTTGATGGCTTTTTTCTTGAACTTTTGCACAGCATTCTCAGGCAAATGTTTTTTACGTAAGGCAAATAAAACTTTTATTCCAAAAAACTGCTCATCATATTTTTTTGCAAAGGATCACGCAGCTTACACATGATAATGTGAAGATCACATGCAAGAATTTTCTTGCTTTCCAGCTTCAGTAGGGTGTCTTGCATTATTGACATGAAGAAGTGCGTGAAATATAAATACAATTCTGAAATTGTTGATTCATCGTCCTTTGCGAGTTCATTTTCCTGATCCAAAATAAGGTTCCAGATAACCTATGGCACTCATCAGATCCAAGAGAAATAAAATACGATTTTAGAGGTATCCAGTTTAAAAGAAGTCTTTCGACTGCTTTAAACAAACTTAACCAACGTGTTGGAACATGGCGCAAAACTTCATGGAATTCTGACTCGCAAAACTCAAAAAATGATTTCAACTCTTCTCGTTTCTTCGCAGAATTAGAAAATTTGGCAAAAACCTTCAGCACTACATTTTGGATATCAAAAGATAACTGCTTTAATGCATTTTTTTGCGCTGTTGTGTAAAATGTGATTATTGCAATGAGCAGCTACAATATTGTCATTTTCCAGCAATAATTTTTGGTAAACAGATTTGTTCATTCCATAATTGACCGATGCATTATCTGCTGAGTAAGCTGAAACATTATTTATTTCCAATTCGTTATCACTAAGAACTCGACACAGCTGATTTTTTATTGATGTAGAATCTTCGAAAGAATCCTCATAAAAGTCTAAAATTTTCACACACAGTCCTTCACAAGTAAAATATTGTGCAACAACGGGATACATTTTGCGATTTCCCTTGTTTGATGCGTCAGTGGAGAGAGAAAATGGAATTCCAGTTTTAAGATCATTGAAAACCAACTCAATAGAAAAAGGATACAAAACCTCATTGACAATAGCTGATGATTTGGTTCTTCCACAAGACATCTTTTTTACAATTTCTGAATCATCAAAAATTTGCTTCATTAACTTAATACTGCAATCTTGAGCCAGGAAAGAAATATGGTGTTTGATCCCACGGTAAGTTTCAGCCATTTCAGCTACAGTCGCTTTCTCACTGAAAGAGGAGTCTTTAACAATGAAAAACGAATTGATTCGCTTGTTGCTGGAAGCTATTTTCTCCTTATCTAAATGATTTTCTGTGCTTGCATTCTGTGTGACAGCTTTTATACCATTATATTCAATTGTGAACGATTTCTGACACAATTTACAGTAGGCCGTCGTATTTGTTCTGTCGGTTTCATTGTTGGTAATCCATGCAAAAGTAGCTTCCCAGTCTTTGGTGTATTTGCACACTCCTCTCTTTCGTTTTAAAGAATTCGAAATCTCGCCACTGTCACTCTCATCATTCGACGCCATTTTAGGTCAGTCGACACAAGCTACAATACATTTTAAAAATGTGAACTGTACATAATTTTATAATATATTTTTATTTTAATCTCATTAATTTTTTCGGAGAATCGAGTTCAATGGATGTTCGATCTTTGTCTCATTCTAACTTATGAAAAAAAAGACAAAACGCTGTAGACTGTAAAGCTGTACAGACTGTACAGCTTTAGATTACATACCATTTCATCATAAAGCTTTTGAATAAAAAAATGTCCACTATTTTGTGAAAAAAAATAGTGAACATAATGTGAAAAAAGTGGACTGTCCACTCAAATAGTGGACACTTGGCAACCCTGAATTTCATCAGTGCTAGAAGGGAGGAGGGGGAGGAGGAGGGGAGGAGGAGGCGGCAGCCAGAAGGCCTCCCCCATGCACCCTGCAGTGCAGCCCCTCTCTTGCCCCTTTCCGAAGGGCTCTCTCGGGCCACACACACCCCAGCAGAGGGGTGGCCCCTTCTCCCTCCCTCACCATAGCGAGCGGCATAGTCCGGCTGGGGGACGAGCAGGAGCCTCTCGTAGGCCTTGCCGAGGGCCTTGGGGTCGGCCAGGTACGGCCTGCTGGTGGTGCCCATGAGCAGCACACGGTCCTCGGCCTTCAGCAGCTTCAGGGCTCTGGGCAGGTCCCTCTTCAGCCGTTTGGGATCCAGCTGTGGGCAGGAGACAGCCCCCCCCACCCCCCTGGATCAGGATCCAGCCAGGAGCTCCCAGGATTGGTCAGTACCAGGACCAGATTCGGCCAGAAGGGAGCTGGGAACTGGCATTTCTGAGCCGGGCCCTCTGCCAGCTGCCAGCCAAGGCCCTCTTGGGCAGCCAGAGGAAAATCAATCAGAATAGATGTGGAAAGGACCTCAGAGGTCATCTAGTCCAATCCCCTCCTCAAGCAGGAGACCCTTACAGAATTACAGAATGACAGAGTTGGAAGGAACCTTGGAGGTCATCACGTCCGGGCACCTGCTTGAGCTGGAGACCTCAGACCACTTCAGACGTCAGTGGAAGAGGCAAGCCCTCCCCCAGCCCCACTTACCTCCTTCTCCTCTTTGGGGATCTTCTTGTAAAACATCTTCTCCGCACCCCCGACCCAGATCACGGAGGGCTGCAAAACACGGGCCACCTGCGTTCCGGGAGGGGGGGGGAGGAAGTCAGAAAGCAGGAGTCTGGGGCCACAGCCAAGGTTGGGAGGGTTTCAGGGGGGACAGTTGGAAAGAAGACCCTCCCTCTCTTTCCTATCTCTGGAGGAGGCTGCAGGGTGGGGAAAGGTGGAAGGAAGGAAGGAAGGAAGGAAGGAAGGAAGGAAGGAAGGAAGGAAGGAAGGAAGGAAGGAAGGAAGGAAGGAAGGAAGGCTCTGTCCGGCCTGGAACCATGACTCTGCCTCGATTGCTGCCTCCAGATTGTCCCAGAATTTGGAGCGGTGGGATGCCAGAGGGTGAAAGGACAGACTGAGCCCCTCCGGCTGCTCTTCCCCAGCCAGCCTCTCCAGCATCAGAAGAGAAAAGAGGGGAGACCCCCCTCCCCCTCCTCCCTTGGCGAAGGGCATTTCCCTGCTGCTCACAAGGGGCTCCAGCTTCTGTACCTTGAACACCAGGTGGATGAGCATCTGGAGGCCGGCCTTGCCTGGATACTTGTCGGCCAGGTTGTCTGGCGAAAGGTCGAAAAGGTTGGCCCCTGTCTCAGTGCAGACGGCGTGGACCAGCATCTTCTTCCCCGTGCCTGGGGGGGCCGGCCAGGAGGATGGACCTCACCTGGGGGGCCAATTCATGCACGGTCTGGGAACCTGGTGAAGGGAGAGTGAGAGAAGGACAAAGAGGACAAAGGGAGAAAGAAGCAGAGGGAGAGAGAGAGGAGAGAGAAGGAGGGAAAGGAGAGAGAAGGAGGGAGAGAAGGAGAGGAGGGAGAGAAGAGGAGAAAGAGGAGAAAGGGAGAAAGAAGCAGAGAGAGGAGGGAGAGAGACAGGGAGGGGAAGAGAGAGAGGAGAGAGAAGGAGGGAGAGAAGGAGAGAGGAAGAGAGAGAGATGGAGAGAGAGAGGAGAGAGAGGAGAGGAGAGGAGAGGAGAGGAGAGAGAGAGAGAGAGAGAGAGAGAGGAAGGTTGGAATAGGACAGGGGCCCAAATGCACCAGGCTGACCCCAGACAGACCCTGAGGCTGGAGGGAAGGCTGCTGGCTTACCCAGAGGAAGGATAGCATAGAGGACAATGTTCTGCCGGACGTCCAGCATGGAGGGAATGGGCTCAATGGCCTTCTGGCGCAAGAAAGTTCCCAGGTAGCAGAAGTCCCCTGTGGGAGAAAGCCGAAGCTGAGTGCAGGAGCTTCTTCTGAAGGGCTCCAATACAGGGGACTGAGGGCCGGCAGGGGTCTCAACTGAGGAGGGCCAGCTAAGCTGCCGGTCACCACCAGGAACTGAGCCTAATGGGGTGGAGGTCGGGTGGGGCAATGGGGAGGGCATCCTGGGCAGCCCACAGGCCCTTTCTAGGACCCAGGATCGAGGGCCACCTCCACGGGGGCAACTAGACAGCCTTCCAACGGGCCTGGAGGGATTTCAGGTTTGGGGGAATCTTGCCCTGGACCAGTACGACTAACTTTCTTTGCCACCAGATCCAGACTCCTGGCACTTCACAGAATGAGCAAGATATCCGCAGAGTGACAAAGGAGAGGGACTTTCACAGACATGCGCGCTAAGCAGGCTAAGGATTGAAATTGAAACCCAGGGCAGAAAGAATTTGGGAGCAATGCCAAGTACCAGGAAAACGGCCCTCTTGGCTGCTGGTTGGGGCCACCCCAGCACCTGGGGAAGAGGCCATCCTTCCTTTCCTTGAAGCAAAAGACCGCTGGGGTGGGCCTGCCAGACTCCCCCTGCCCTGGGCTGCCCTTGAGCCTCCACCCTCTGCAGCAGAGCCTCTCCCCCACCCCCACCCCCACCCCCCGCCTTCAGAGGGCTAGGCCTGGCTGAGGATGGCAGGGTTCGTCCGCTCAATGCCTCTCACGGTTTAGGGTGATGGGCAAGCTGGGACAGCCGGAAACCTTAACCTGGATTGTTCAACATAGGCAACGATTTGTTAACAGGGATGAAGGTGCTGCCTGAGCCCTCATGCCCACTTTAAGGGGCACATGCCAGGGCTGCAGCTGGTACTTGAAGCTAAGCCCAGGTGGGTCCACGGGGGTGGGGGGGGCAAAAAACAGGAAGAAGGCTTCTCTACCATCTGAGCTCCGGTTCCTGTTTGGGTGAACAGTGGTATTCTGGCTGCTGAGTGGTGAGACGAAGGGTGGGAGTTTACAAGGACACCTGAAGCGGACACCACCATGGAAAGTGTGCTTGATAGACAACCAGCACTCCCAAATATCAGAACCAAGCCCCCCAAATAGCCCCAGCAGGCAGACATCCGGGCAGTGGGAGGGGCATCTCCAGTGAGGCATCGGCCAGTGGCACAACATCCGGCCAAGAGGCGCTCCAGTTTCTACCATGGATGGACATCAGGGAAGCCCCCATGGACCCCCAAGCCTCCAGGGGGCAGCTGAACTAGACTGAGAATGAGAAACGAGGGGAATGTGGCCATGCCACCCATGTTCCACAGTCTCTGCTTTTCTCAGCTGCAGAGCGAGCGAGAGAACTTTATGGGCGGCTTCCTGCCAAGGTTCTCAACCACTGGGTGGGGGGCTTCTGACCAGGAGAGGGCTGGGGATGACCACCGACCTGAGTAATCGGCCAGCTGCACCTTCGAGGACTTCTTAATAATGCCCTGGAACACCAGTTCTTCGTAAAGAGAATCGATGGTCCTGGAGGAGAGACAAGAGGGCCTCTTGGGTGCTGCTGCAATCTCAGACTGCCCCCCAAGGTGAAGAGAGGGCCTGAGCAAGGGGACCCCCACACTCAGCCCAGCAAAGAACCCCTGGAGCTGATGGGGAGGGGGGAATCAACCCAAGACAAGCAGAGACTCTGAACGGAGGCAGCTGGACGCCTCGAGGCTGGGCTTGCTAGGCTGGGTACCTGAACCCTCTGCAATCCCAGACAGGGGGGAAAAGATGGGGAGGGGCTCCACAGAGGCCATCCATCCGAATCCCCTCCACAGAAAGCAGGCATTTGGGGAATAAGATCACACAACCATAGCAACTATTTATTACTTAGAATTAATGTAAATATTCCACACTTTTGTACGAACAAGAACTCATAATGCAAAATTGCCGTTCGAGAATGATGTCCTTTAGGAGAAATCTCTGGGCCAACAACCATCCCATCCGGAGGTCAACCAACTCCCATTTCAGGACAGTCACAGCCAGAATTCCTCCTCGGGGTCTTTTTGGGTCCCTCGTGTGAGATGCGATTCACAAGTGTCTGTGGTGCCCAAGATTTGCACCCCAGGCCCATTTCAGTGCTTCCGTTCCTCTCACTGTGATCCTGGCTGACTGCAGAGCAGCTGTTTTCAGCCACTGCTGCCTTCATCCCTGCTCTTTTTGCAGAACTGACTGGCCTCTGTGATGGGCCACCCAGCTTCTTGCTCACCTCCGCTCCAGGAGACCCAGCATTGCCAGGGAAGCCTGTTTCATGAGTCACCAGCAGGGATGTTTTCCAGCATCAGATCTGCTTCCTTGCAGCTGAAATGGATTCCTTCCCCTCCCTGTCCTGCCAGCCTTTCGGACCTTAAGAAGAGACCTTTGCTGATGGGTCTAGGAGGACTCACAGCGACCTGGTGGGCGTGGATGGATGGGCAGGTAGCACGAGGGAGTAGGTGCAGCTGGCTTGGCAGGGATGACTTGTCACGGCTGGGTCGGTGTGGCAGGTGGGTGCCGTCGGGTAGGTGCAGAACAATTCACCCTGGGCAACTCAGCAACACATCAGAAGAAAAATCACCTGGAGATGTGCCAGCAAATGTGAAGTGGCAAGGTTTGAAAGAAGGAAAGGAAAGGAAAGGAAAGGAAAGAGGAGAGGAGTGGAATGGAGGGGAGAGGAGTGGAGGGGAGGGGAGGGGAGAGGAAAGGAAAGGGTGGACCACCCTGCCCCCCACAATTGAAATAAACATTCCATTTTTATTCTCCAGACCCACTTTCTGAGGGGAGATTTCCCTGAAAAGTTTGAAAGGGAAGGCCTTTTCCTGTTCCTCACCTGGCTAATGTGGTGCCCCAAAGGACTGGGGCTGTGCTCAGGCTGCCCTGAGAGAGGCCAGAGAGAGAGAGAGAGACAAAGGGTCTGCAGCTCTGCCCCTATTGTTGGCTCCTGAGCAGCCTGGCACCCACCTACTCAGTTTGATCCTCCTCATGTGTTGTGCTGCTCCCCAGATTGGTTTCTCCCCCCAAAAACGCCCTTCCCTGGATGCTTTAATAGTTCTTAGCCCCCGGAGGGCTTGGCTGAAATGCCTTTTGCAGCTTCCCAGCCTCTGTGGGCTTTTCATGCCTTCCGTCAACGCAAAGACCACCAAATGCTTCGGCCCACGTCCAAGCCCGCTGCAATGGCACATGGCCCAGGCCGTTTTGACAGCCATGTCTCCCTCGAAGGGGAGCCTGCTTTTTGTCTGTTTTTAAGCTCATTTACCAAATGAGAAGTGGAGCAAACAGGGCCCATCACATCCCCTGGAACCCCAATTTGGTTACTCTGTCGAAAAGAAGATGTGGGGGGACACCTGGAAAGGCTCCTGCCAAGCCACCGCTTCCTCACTCCCCTCCTTTGCAGGGGTGTGAGAAGCTGCTCTGGACTCCTGCCAGGTCCAGGGGTTTCCCAGCCCCTCTTTCCCCCCTCCTCTTTTGAAGGCTAAATGCCTTCTCCAGGCCCCTGGGGGCACCCCCGTGCTCCATGGAGTCTCCGAGACCTCCCAAAGGGCCTCCAAAGTAGCATCAGGAAGGTCCTTCAGATGGGAGAGTCAGTCCTGGTAGCCATGGGCTCCCTACCCATCTCTCCTTCTTAAGCCCAAGGGTGAAATGCTACAAGTTTGCACTGGTTCACCCGAACCGGTAGTAATAAAATCTACCAGTTCGGATGAACCGGCAGAAAAAAAATGCTATTGGTTTGGACAAACTGGTATTTCAGATGATCAGCTGTGCTGTGCAATTTATATTCGCTAGAAAGCAGGATTTCCTAATCTAAAAGGCGCCACTGTTCCCCCCTTCACTGTTCTACTTACCTTAGAAAAGGCTTCTTAAGCACTTTTCCAGCACTGTGCAGTATCATCTGCGGTGCGCATGGGCGTGTAGCATGGGTTTGGCAGGTACTGCACATGCGTGTACACAGCAAGCCAGTAGCAAAGCGAACCAGTAGCAGACCTTGGAGCATTTCACCCTGCTTAAGCCCCCTCAAACCCAGCTCCTTTGGGGGAGGGGACAGGAGCAGAGGGGGAATTGGGGAGCTCTCCCCTCCCCAATCCTGGCCTCCCTTCCTGCAAACCTTCTGTCTCCTTCTTTTTCCTCTGTTGTAGAAATGCTTTTTGGTCAGAACTTCCCTTCCAAGGACCTGGCTGCTTCGGTGACTTTGGGGCTTGTTCCTGGTTTTCCTCTTTGCAGAAATCAGCTCCCCTCTGGGGAACCGCAGCCCCGAGTCCCATTTTCTGTCTGCGCCCCTTTTAGCTCTTTTGCATGCATGGAGGGGTGTGTGTGTGTTTCCTGAGCCGCTTCCCCCCACTTCCCAGAATTTTGGATCCTCTCTGCTGAGTTGCTTTGATCACCGGAGTCCTTTGCGTTGTCTCTTCTGAATCTTGGTCACCTGCCTGGCTTGCTAGGCCCTTCCTGGGTTAACAGTGCCGTGTTCTGACCGAGGTTTCCCCAGCAGCACGAAGCCGAGTCCTCGTCCCAATAAAACCCTTTTATTTAATTTACAGTGAATTCCTCTCCAGCAGACTCTTTCCTCTCCCACAATCTTTCAAGATAGTTCACAATTACCAACCTTGGTAATTGGCTTGGAGAGTGGCCAAGCCGATCTCTTTCAGACTCCACACTGTAACTGACAATAGTTGGCAAGAAGGCAGGAACAGATCTTCACCCAAATGAGCTAATTGTCTCCTGCAATCTCCCCTCCCCTTCACTCCTCTTTATTCCCTCTGGGAGGGGCCATTCACGGTCCACCTGTGGCTTTACTCCTGAGTCGACCCTTGTTCCTTAGCTGTTCCCTGCTCCTGGCAGCTCTGCGCATGCGCATACTGGGAACAGGCCCCAGCTGTTCTTCTGCCTCCCTGGTGTCCCACTCCGAAAGCAGCTGACAACTGTCAGACGGCCCTGACCCCATCTCTGCCCCTGATGCAGAGCCCTCGTCAGAGCCTTCCCCAGACTCCAGGACTGGCCCATGTCCCTCCCCAACCTCTTCACTGTCCGAATCTGCTGCCAGATCCACTGACCACTGGTGGGCTGCAACACGTGGCTGGTTTTCCTCCATTGTATCAGTGCCTACATGCTGCCCCCCCCATGTCCAGATCCAGGTTCACAGGTGTATCTCTTCAACCACAGAAGGAGGAGTTTGCTAAAGCCTGTTGTGTGTGGGGAGGGAAGTCTCTGTGAAGATCTCTGTGGAAACGTTTAGCAAGAAAGGAACAGTGATCCTAAGGTAGAAGGAGGCAACCCCCCACCCGAGGTCTCCCCACAATCTGTTCTGCATCCGGCACTTTAAAAATGTCTTTATAAAATGATCCGAAGTTCCCAAACGTTGCAGGATTCAGGGCACAGTGGAGAGGAAGGGGATGCCAGAATTGCCATGTGGGGGAGGGGGAGGGGGGTCAGTCCTATTAGTTTTCTGTGGCAAAAGCATCAAAAACCCATTTTCTGAGAAAGCTATTATGCCCCGTGGGCTGGGAGATGACACGGCGCTCCATCAGAGGCGCAGAACGTTATCTGGTGAGGCGAGAAGCCGAATCTTTACACATTCTTGGCGTGGGGGAGCCCGGCTAGAGTCCTAAGGGATGGCCTGGGACCCTCTTCCTGGAGGGGGGGACAACAGGGTGCAAGTTGGGTGGCTTGAAAGACAGGCTGCAGGATGATGCAGGGTATGGGGACCACACACACACACACACACAACCATACAGTCCCAGGCCTTTCAGGAAATCTTTGAGGCAGGAGGGGGGAAGAGTACCTCTCTGGCGTCAGGTCCTTCTCTTTCTTTCCTTTCTTTGTCTGCTTCGAGAAAGGGAACATTTTCTATCAACCAAGGGTGGTGGATGGGCTTTGGGTCCCCCCTACACCACGTTCCCCCTGACATTGACCTTGGGACCCTTCTTGGGGGCCTTCTGAGTCCGTGTCTCCTCCTGGTCAACGGCCAGACGCAGGTGTCGAAGCTCCTCCCGCATCAATTCATCCACCTGGGGGAGTAAAAACAGAGAGGGGGTCATCTCTCTCTCTTTTTCCTTTCTGTCTCCTTCTGTCTCTCCCTCTCCCTGTCCTCTCTCCTCCTCTCCCTTTATTTCTCCTCTCCCTCTCTCTCCCTCTCTCTCCCTCTCTCTCCTTCCTCTCTTTCTCCTCTCCCTCTCTTTCCCTCTCCTCTCCCGTTCTCTCTCCCTCTTGCTCTCCCTCTCCTTTCTGTCTCCTTCTGTCTCTCCCTCTGTCCTCTCTCCCTTTCTTTCTCCTTTCCCTCTCCCCCCTCTCCCTCTTTCTCCTTCTCTCTCCTCTCTCTCTCCCTCTTTCTCCTCTCCCTCTCTCCTTCTCTCTCCCTCTTCTTCTCTCTCCCTCTTCTTCTCTCTCCCATTCTTTCTCCTTTCTGTCTCCTATCTCTCCCTCTCCCCCATCTCTCTCTCTCTTTCTCCTTCTCTCTCACTCTTTCACTCCATCTCTCTCCCCCCCAATGACGCCTCTCCAGCTGCTGCCCATCCGATGTCCAGCCTGGCCTCCCCCCCCCAACCTGCAGGGCTGCCCACCTGCAGCCGGATCTCGATCTCCATCTCTCTCCTCTTCTGCACCCTGATCAGATCTGGCTGGTAGCGCTGCTCGAAGTTGGTGGCTTCGTCGTTCTCGCCCCAGCAGCCTAAGGAAGGGGTGAGGGGCCTGGGCATGCCTGCAGCCCATGAGCCCCCTCCCCAACTAGCAAGGGAGCTTGGACCTGACATGCTGGCAAGCCCCCATCTCTCCCCCCGTCCCCATTGCTGCTGGGCTTCCCTGGCAGCCCAAGAGCAGCCAATGGAAGCAAGAGAATGAGGGCCTTTGCCCTGCTGTGGGTAGAGATGCCCACCTGTCATCTGCCTCTCCCAGCATGGCCTTTCAGAGAAACTCCCAGGGAGGGTGGAGACAACCCCACCCACCCCCAGTTGCCCCTTCCTGCTCACCCGTATACCGCAGGAATCCCTGATTGATGGTGGCCAGGAACTTGGAAGGTGCCATCTTCAGCCCTTCCTCTTCCTCCTGGAGAGAAGGGCCAGAACCCTCAGTGCTGCCTGTCAAGCGGCTGCCTCCCCTGCCAAGGCCCCCACCTCACCGATCTCTTCTCCTTCCCCTTCCCCTTCTTGCTCTCTTCCTCCTTTTCTTTTGGCTCCTTCTCCATCTTTTCTTTCGGTTCCTTCTCCTTCTTGGAGTCCGTCTTGATCTCTGCCAGGTCCAGCTCAGCCCTCACCTGCAGACGGGGAGGGGGAGAAGGGGGAGAAGGGGAGGGGGCTGTCAGCCGGGCAAGGAGGAGCAACGATGGCCCTGCCGTCCCCAGAGTCACTTACCACCCCTGACCGGCCTTACCTCTTCAGGGGTCTTCTGGGCAAAAAGGACCTCGCAGCCCCCAATTTCCTCCTCTGGGTAGTCGGGGAAACGGCCAGTCAGGTCACTGCGGGAAGCAGGATGAAGGCCAAGGCTCCAGACATCAGCGGGCAGAGAAGGAAGAAAGGGAGGGGAAGGAAGGAGAGAGGAAGGAAGGAAGGAGGAAGAGAGGGAGGAAGGAGGAGGGAGGGGCTGGGCAGAGTGGAAGAAAGGAGGGAGGGAGGGAGGGAGGAAGGGGGGAGGGAGAGAGGGAGGGAGGGAGGGGCTAGGCAGGATGGAAGAAAGGAGGGAGGGAGGGAGGAAGGAAGGAGGGAGGGAGAGAGGGAGGGAGGGAGGGAGGGGCTAGGCAGGATGGAAGGAAGGAGGGAGGGAGGAAGGAAGGAGGGAGGGAGGAAGAGAGGGAGGAAGGAGGAGGGAGGGGCTGGGCAGGGTGGAAGGAAGGAGAGAGGAAGGAAGGAGGGAGGGAGAGAGGGAGGGAGGGGCTAGGCAGGATGGAAGGAAGGAGGGAGGGAGGAAGGAGGAGGGAGGAGCTGGGCAGGACGGAAGGAAGGAGGGAGGGAGAGAGAGAGAGAGAGAGAGAGAGAAAGAAAGAAAGAAAGAAAGAAAGAAAGAAAGAAAGAAAGAAAGAAAAAGGAAGGAAGGAAGGAGGGAGGGGCAGAGTGCCTTCCTGACTGCCGGCCAGACTTCTTGTTTTTGGACGGAGAGCCCCCGATCAACGGGAAGGGCCCCTCCCTCGCCGCCCCCCACCCCCCCCGTCTCGCCCTCTCACCGGCACTCAATGAACCACTGGCGGAGCTGTTCGCGCAGCTGCTCGCGCATGTTAGGCCCCTCCAGCTCCAGGAGGGCGTCTCGTATGCGCTCCTGCGCCTCTCGGTACTCGGCCTCGTAGTCCGCCTGGCGCAGCCTGCGCAGCTCTTCGCCCAGCTGGGCGCGGATCGTGGCCGGCGAGGGGCCCGCCAGGTGCGGCTCCAGCTCCTGCGGGCGGGACCGGGTCCCGTCAACCTCTCCCCGCGCGGGACGGGCCAGATCCGGGTGGGGGTGGGTGGGGGGTCAGTCCGGAGAGGCCATTAGGAGAAATGAAGTGGGAGCCGGGCGCCAGGAGTAAATTACCCCGTAATGAGTTTCTAATATGCCCGCCCGGCGCTTCCCTGCCCGGCAGCGGCCGCGGCGCGCAGGCACTTTCCCGCCTCATTGCGCCCCAAATGGATTTTAAATATCATTCCGAAGACACAATTATTTAAAACGCTGAACTAAACACTCGCTAATGGGAGGGGGCGGTGGGCGGCGGCGGGCCGGGCTGGGAGCGCGCAGAAGGGCTGCCGGCCACCGCCTCGGCTCGGGATGAGGACCGCAAGCGGCGCGCCCGGGTGGCTCCGCGCGAATGCAGCGGGGATCCGGACGGTCCGCCTTGCGCGGCTCGTCCTGAGCCCTCGCCTCCCATCCCGTCTCCGGCTTCCCACCGCCTGCCCGCCGGGCGCTGCGCTCACCATGCCGATGAAAGCCATTTCGGCCTTGCGCGCCATCCTGGTGAGCCGTCGCTGCACGTGGCCTTTCCAGATCTGGGCGGAAAAAACGGGGCTTGTTCCGCGCCTCTGGGGGGACTCGCAGACACTCTCCCCGAAGCCTTGAACCATCCCGACAACCGCCATTTGCGCTCCGGCGGCCGGTGCCGCGTCAGGAGCTCTGCCCTCTAGGGCTCCCGGAGACCCCTAAACTCAGACCTCCCCGCACCCCAGTCCAAGCGAGGGGTTCGTGGACAGCAGTGGCGGAGAAGGTAATAATAATAATAATAATAATAATAATAATAATAATAATAATAATAATAACAACAACAACAACAACAACAACAACAACAACAACAACAACAGTAACAGAGTTGGAAGGGACCTTGGAGGTCATGTAATCCAGCCCCCTGTTCACGCAGGAGACCTATAGGAGGGATTCGGCGCGACTCACCCGCTCTTTCGGGTCCCCAGGAATTTGATTGGGGGGGTGGAACTGAAGGCTGCTTTAGCCCTCTGCCCTTCTGATGGGCGGGGCTCTTTTCATCCCACAGATGTGCCCCTAAAGCAGCTCTCCTGCTTAAGACTGAGAGCTTGACTAAAACAGCTGGAAACCCCTCCCCCTTCACTCGAGGCCCTTTGGTGGCCCCACCCGATGTCTATCAGACCCACTGGTAAGGCCAGCCAGAAATGCCCAGGGCTGCATGGGCAGGACAAAGCCCTTGGCAGCCGAGAAAGGTCAATTATTGAAAAAATTATTATTTATTGATGGATTGAGGGATTTCGTTTATAGAACCCACCATCTCTGGCCAATCAAACTACAATCTCCACAGAAATACAAATCTCCACAAAAGGGGAATAATAGAGGAAGATTGTTAAGGGAGCCACTTCCCTAGTTCATGCATCCTGGGAGGGGGGGGGAGAAGGGGCTTCCATGCTTTGAGGGGCCTTCGGAAGGTTAGAAGCAATTAAGCTTTTTTAATAGATTAACAAGAGTTGGAAGGGACCTTATAGGTCATCTAGTCCACCCCCACCCCCGCTCAAGCAGGAGACCCTACACCATTTCTGACAAATGGCAGTCCAATCTTTTCTTGAAGGTCTCAAGTGATGAAGCCCCCACAACTTCCAAAGGCAACTTCTGTTCCAAAGGTTTTGTGGGGGGGAGGGGAGGGGCTGGAAGGGCCCAAAGGGGTCCTTACCTTCTGGATGCAGATGGCAGCCTGGTCCCGGTTGGATTCGTCTGGGCCTCCCTCCCTGATCTTCCGCTCACGCTCCTCATCCCTCCGGATCTCAGCCATGAAGTGGGCCCGGAGGCGGCCCTGGCGCATCCGCTCCGCCATTTGGATGAGCCTCACTGCCTCGTCCCGCAGAATCAGGGAGTGGGGGGACTGGGAGGAAAGGAGGGGCTGCTCAGCTGAGGGGCCAGGGGAATCACGGGGAGGGGGGAGACAGTCCAGGAACGGAGGGGGAGGATCCGGGCACTTACAGGGATGGCCTTGGAGGACTCCATGCGGGCCAGGAGTCCCGCCAACACCTCCTGACGCTCCTGCAGGACCTTAGCTCGCTCCCTCACGAAGTACTTGGGAATCGGCACCTCCATCTCGGCCTGGTGGGGAGGAAGGAGCCCGTGGGAGCTTGAGAGCCACGCCAGGACTATCCCGCCAAAAAGGAGCAAGGGGAGGGGGGCGTTGAACCATCAATCAAAGTATGGGGCGCCCAGTTCTTTGGAGGAAGGAGGGCAGCCCCTGACTGCAAGAATTGGGTGGCATCATAAACATTGGGAGGGCGGGGGTGGCTTTGGCTGGAGTTTTTCCTTCCTTCCCTCCCGCACCCCCCATCTGTTGTTGCCCTTTATATTGTTTATACGAACTATATGCGCTGTGGTGGCCCAGTGGTGAGAGGATTGCAGGCTAATTCTGCGGACCGCAGTTCAATTCTCACCGGCTCAAGGTTGACTCAAGCCTTCCGTCCTTCCAAGGTTGGGCAAAACGAGAGGGCCAGGGGTGGGCTGCTGGGGGTTCAGAGGGGTTTGGGAAAACCTCTAGCTAAGATTCCAGTTTGGAGAACAGCCACATCCCAAATTCCACTCTTAGCTGGCCCCGCCCACCCCGACCCTCCCTGCCCTGGAGTCCCCACACGGCCTGTTTTGGATGCAGGTAAGTGCAGGGCGCATGCGGAGGCTCAGGGAGGGCAAAAAACAGGCCTACTCCGGGTCTCCGGAGCTTAGGTAGGCTGTTTTCATCCTCCCGGAGGCTTGAGGAAAGCCTCTGGAGCCCAGGAAGGACAAAAACGCCCCTCCCTGTCATGATGCAGGAGGCCGACTAGGCCACGCCCACCATGGCCACATCCACCCAGCAACCAGGCAGAGAACCCCTGGCTAAAATTTTTGAAGCCTAACCCTGGAGAGGGCTGTAAAGCACTGTGAAGCAGTCTATATTAGAATAGAATAGCAGAGTTGGAAGGGACCTTGGAGGTGTTCTAGTCCAACCCCCTGCTTAGGCAGGAAGTCTAGGGACTATTGCTATATCTTGTCCTTCAAGAAGTTGAAATAGCAAAGTAACCCATTTTAAAGCGTAAAATCACAAGGCCGCCATTAAGGGCGATTCGTGAGACTTGGCTGTAGGCTCTCCAGATTTGTAACCAGCCAACGATCTGGACCAAACGCCGGGTACCCACTCCCTGTCATGCTGATCCCTGCCCCCAAAAAGCTGGATTAACTGAGGAGGTTCTGAATTCCCCATGTTCAGACGGTGAGCTCATTTCGGCCCTCTTTGTAGAAAGGTCTCAACATCTTTTTTATTGTGTGGTGACAAATCCTGCATCTTATTTTGGTCACCCCCCCCCACACACACACACACTATAAAAAAGACATTGAGACTCTAGAAAGAGTGCAGAGAAGAGCAACCAGGATGATCAGGCGACTGGACGCTCAAACATACGATGAACAGTTTACAGGAACTGGGCCTGGCTAGTCTAGTGAAGAGAAGGACCAGGGTGGGGACATGATAGCAGTGTCCCAATATTTGAGGGGCTGCCACAGAGAGGAGGAAGAGGGCCAAGCAGTTTTCCCAAAGCACCTGAAGGCCGGACAAGGAAGAATGGCTGGAAACTGATCAAGGAGAGATCCAACCTGGAAATAAGGAGAAACTTTCTGACGGTGAGAACAATCAACCCATGGAACAGAAGTTGCCTTTGAAGGTTGTGGGAGCTTCATCCCTGGAAGCTTTCAAGAAGAGACTGGACTGCCCTCTCTCAGAAACGGTGTAAGGTCTCCTGCTTGGGCAGGGATTGGGAGGGGTTGGGCTAGATAACCTACAAGGCAGGGGTGCTATTCAGCAGGCTCTGACAGGTTCTAGAGAACCAGTAGTGGAAAATTTGAGTAGTTCAGAGAACCGGCAAATACCACCTCTGGCTGGCCCCAGAATAGGGTGGGAATGGGGATTTTGCAGTATCCTGCCCTGCCATGCCCACCAAGCCACGCCACGCCCACCAAGCCACGCCCACAGAACCGGTAGTAAAAAAAATTGAATTCCCCCACTGCTACAAGGTCCGGTCCGACTCTTGTTAATCTGTATCTGAGTGAATGGTGGACATCTTTCCTTCTGGGGGAGGGGGCAAGAGGGAACAAACCCGAAGGGCAGGTGGGGAGAGAAATCCTCTTCCTTCCATAGCCTCCTGGCTGAGAATGAGAACGAGTTAACAAATTTAGCAAGCAGCCTGCCCTCTGTCAGAAATAGGGTAGGGTCTCCTGCTTGGGCGGGGTGGGGGTTGGACTAGATGACCTCCAAGGTCCCTTCCACCTCTGTTAATCTGAAATACGCTCAATAAAATGAACTCAATTTAAACAGTGGGCAGCTGTCCCGGGCTGTGGGGACCGGCAGGGAGGAGTTGAGGGGACGGTGGATGGCTCCACGCTCCATTTGCGCGAGGGGGAGCACGCGTCCCCCCCGCCGCCGCCGCGCAAATAGAGCTACGCGCCCGTTTGCTGGCTTTGTTTGGGCTCGGTTCCAGGACAGGGGTTCGTGTGTGTGTGTGGGGGGGGGTGGTACGGCTCCCTCCGGCCCTTGACTGACCGGTGTCAGCTTTAGCTCCTCCAGCACGTGGTCCATGTAGTGGTACTCGGAGAGGTCCAGCTCCACCAGCTCCTGCTTCAGCTCTAGGATGCGTCCCAGCACGCTATCCAGCAGCGGCCGCAGCGCCAGGCGCTTCTGCGGATGTACCACCTGATCGTAACAGGCCTCCAGGCGCCGCGCCACCTGCACGTAGCGCAGGAAGAGGGTGGCCAGCCGGTGCCAGAAAACGGTCCGGTTCTTCTCGGGTTTCCTGGGCTCGGTGGACAGCTCCTGGTCCAAAAGCTCCTTCAGGATCCGCCGCGACTCCTGCCACAGTTTCCCGTAGGTGCTGCGGACGGACAAGAGACGCTCAGGTGGGCGATGGGAAGCCGGTTGGCGTGGAGCGGGGAGGGAGGAAGGCCCTCGAGTCGCTTGCACCGAGTACCCCCTTCCCGTCCCAGCGCAGGGCGGCGCCTTCTCACCCACCTGCTAGCCATGATCCCGCCTGGATCCCGAGCCCGGCGCTTCGCAGGTAGAAGTCTAAGCCCCGCCCACCAGCATTGTCTCCCCCACCCACCCCCGGTTCCCATAGAGACGGGCGAACCCGGAGGGGCGACAGGCCTGGCCTACTTTGCAGGGCAGCGAGTCCACGCGCGAAAATTTCAGTGGGCGCGAGTGGAAATACGTAGCACGCGAGACCTGCCCCGCTTCCCACACCCCCCACGACCACCTGCACTGGCCACTACCGCCAGCTCCCCCCCCCACCGCCAGCTGCACCGAGTCGCCCGAGTGGGGAGTGGGCTGCAGACTCGGAAAAACTGGCTTCAAACGCCGGGATTGCCCGGCCAGGGAAGACTGGCGGTCTGGAGTTAGACGTTTCCGCTGTCGGGTTCGGGATGACGCACCGCCCCCCCCCCCGCCCCATCCCACATCTCTTTGGCTCTTTCGTCGGTTATTTGGGGGGCGAGGAAGAGGGTTGATGTCACCTGGGAGAAGGGGTTCAAGGGGCGAGGGGGGTCGCGGGCGCCGGAGGGAGGGGAGAGTGCCCCAGATGCCAGCCACTTTGCCCGGTTGCTTCGGCGCAGCCCGGTTGCTCTGGTTTAGCGGGGAGGTGGGGGGCAGCATCTTCCGCATCCTCCTTTTCGAGGGGTAAAAGAAGTAACAGACTGGAACCTATCAAGGAGAGAAGCAACCTGGAACTAAGGAGAACTTTCCTGACAGTGAGAACAATTAATCAGTGTGGAAGGGCTTCCCTCCAGAAGTTGGGGATGCTCCAACACTGGAAGTTTTCAAGAAAAGACTGGGCAGCCATTTCTTCATTTGTCTGAAATGGTCTAGGCTGGTTTCCTGCCTGAGACTAGAAGACTTCCGAGGTCCTGCCAGCTCGGCTATTGTGCTGAGAGGTGGCAACATCCAAAATACCCTCGCAAATATTTCCTAATTCTACGAATCTCCAGTGAGAGAAGAGGGAGTTAGATTGACGGTCGTTACTCAGTTGGACGGAGCACCAAAGAATGGAGGCCTTTGAACTCTGATGCTGGAAAAGACTCCCGTGAGTCCCTTGGACTGCAAGGCGATCCAACCGATCAGTTCTAGAGGAGATCAACCCTGACTGCTCTTTAGAAGGCCAGATCCTGAAGAGGAAACTCAAATACTTTGGCCACCTAATGAGAAGGAAGGACTCCCTGGAGAAGAGCCTCATGCTGGGAACGATGGAGGGCATAAGAAGAAGAAGATGGTAGAGAACGAGGAGTCTGAATGGAGTCACTGAAGCAGTTGGTCTGAGCTTAAATGGACTCCAGAGGATGGTAGAGGACAGGAAGGCCTGGAGGAACGTGGTCCATGGGGTCATGATGGGTCGGACACGACTTCACAACTGACAACAATACCACCACTCAGTTGGAAAGATTTAAGGAATTGGTGGGACACCTACAGAAATAAAAAAAATCAAATACGGAAGGCCGCAGAAGAGGTTGTCTAAGGCATCAAATTGGGAGAAGAGCACAGCGCTGGTAGACTTGAAGAGGTCAGCCTGTACACCGGGACAAAAGAACGGGTCAAACTGTCATATTGTTGGAAGAAATATCCATCTGGTTCAGTTCCAAGCTCGGAGACAAAAACGCTGGAAACATGGTGGGTGGATTGGAAAGATGGTTGATTGATGAAGCAGAACCTCAGCATGCAGTTCTGGGCCAGCTGAACAAATGGTTGAATGAGTGGATGGACCTTTATTACCGTGTTTCCCCAAAAATAAGACCCTGTCTTATATTTTTTTGAATCCTGAAAGAAGCGCTTGGCCTTATTGCCGTGCGTTCAAAAGCCCGATTGGGCTTATTATCAGGGGATGCCTTATTTTGGGGGAAAGAGGGTAGGTTTCTGTGACTTGGAGGTTTGGATTGTTCTGGGGGTGGGGGTGGGGGGTGTTGTGCAATGTCTGAAATGCCCTTAGGAGATTGTGCAATATAGTGTCTTCTGCTAAATGGTAGTGGATTAATTTTATAGTGCCCTGAAGGGTCAAGTCCTTGTCTTCTTAATCCCATCACCCCCACAGCTGAAGGTCTTTTGTTGTGTAGATAGGCTGGCCTATCCTTCTCTGCCTTCTTTTGCCCTCAATCGTTCCCAGCATTCTCCACTGGGAACTCTTCTCCACTGAGTCCTTCCTTCTCATTAGGTGGCCAAAGTGTTTGAGTTTCATCTTCAGAATCTGTCCTTCTAAGGAGCAGTCGGAGTTGATCTCCTCTAATATCTGCTGGCGGGGGGTGGGGTGGGGGCTATTAAGAAAAACGGAGTCTGCTTTCTGCCTTTAAAAATATTTTCCAAGGTATCTCATTCTTCTAGGAATGGGGATGGGCTTCCCACAATACCAAATCCGATTAGAGCCATGTGTGTGTGTGTGTGTGTGTGTGTGTGTGAGAGAGAGAGAGAGAGAGAGAGAGAGAGAGAGAGAGAGAGAGAGAGGGAGAGGGAGAGGGAGAGGGAGAGAAAGGAAGGAAGAGAGAGAGAGAAAGGAAGGAAGAGAAAGAAAGAAAGAAAAAGAAAGAAAGAAAGAGAAAGAAAGAAAGAAAGAAAGAAAGAAAGAAAGAAAGAAAGAAAGAAAGAAAGAAAGAAAGAAAGAAAGAAAGAAAGAAAGAAAGAAAGAGGTCAGGTCCTTTCTGCTGATTCTGGACCAGAAAGAAAGCCACCAGGTGCTTCCTGGTTATGGAGAGACCTTCAGTGGTATTAAGAGGGTTAACAGAGAAAGCGGAAACAAAGGGTGAGGCCTGGCCATGTGATGAAGGGGAAGTGAGGTCAGGGTCCCAGAGTGGTCACAGCCTGCTTAGCAACCAGGGCACTTAGCAGCTGAGTGGCCTGTCCCCACTGGAGTTGCTAAAGCCAGAACGACTATCTGTAGTGTGGACAGAATGTGAAGAGATTGTCTCCAGGCCTGCCAGAGAGAGCAAGGAGGCCTCTACTCATATATCCCATTTTTGTGCTGAATATAGATTGAGGAAAGGAAGAGTCACTTTATCCGTAAGATGAACAGCAAATTAATTTTAGATAGATACATGATAGGCAGGTAGGAAGATACAGCGGTGAAATCCGGCCAGATCTATCTGGCTCGCGCGAACCAGTAGCGCTAGTGGCGGGAGGCTCCGCCCACCCGCCGGGATGTCATCATGTCCCATTTTTGACCCTCTGCGCATGCACAGAAGATGTTTAGGGAGCTCCTGCGGCTCCCGTTCCCGAACTGGTAGCGAAGGTAAGTGGATTTCACCACTGGCTGGGTAGGTAGATTGATACCGTGTTACCCCCAAAATAAGACCCTATGTCAGCCTCAGCTTGCCTGCTTCAGCTGCCATAAGAAACGGGGAGGGATTAGGTATGGAGCAAAGGGGGGGAAGGGAGCAGGAGGGGGTTTTGTCTTTGTAGGAGGGGACTTTGTGGGAAACGAAACTGAATCTTCAGAAGGGGACGGCTGACCAACTGTTTCGACATTCCTGATGGATGACGCTGCCAGACGTGTTGCCACCTGACCTTTGGATTGGCTGATGATTTATAAACACGAGGGGGGGAAGAAGCTTAGTAGATGCATTTCGCGCGTTTTGCTCACTTCCAGCTTTAACTGGGTTGTTAATCATTTCTTATTCAGTAAAAGTACCAAATTCTTCAAAATGCTTGAGTTTGGGGTTTTCTTTCCTGGATATTGAAGGAAGCATACCCTATCTTATATTTTTTTTGAACCCTGAAATAGCTTGGCTTTATTTTCAGGGATGTCTTATTATTTTGGGGCACATAGAGCAAGACAGGCCTCCTCTTGCCATCTTACCTGATTTCCAGCTCTGTCTAACCCTAACCAGAGGAAACAGAGGGGGGGGATGTCTTATTTTTGGGGGGGACTTATTTTAGTGCATGCGCTCAAAAGCCCAATTGGTCTTATCAGGGGATGTCTTATTTTAGGGGAAACAGGGTAGGTAGATAGACAGACACGATAGAGACAAGATAGACAGACAGACAGATAAGACAGACAGAGATGTCCGGTTTTGACCCGAGAAGCAGAAACATATTTGTGCTGTGTTGATGACTCTAATAGCTCAAAATGCAAATGATTTAGAAACTTTTAATAATGAGAAACCAGAGCGCAGTGCAAAGAACGAGACAAAGAATAATGGCAAAGACCACCAGACTAATGACGGCAGGACGAGAAGCAATGGGTGGAAACTCATCCAGGAGAGAAACAACCTAGAACAATCGGAGGACCAGGAGTGGCCTCCAGAAGTTGTGATGGTTGAAAGAACGGGGGTTACTTGGAGGCTCCTCTAGCAGGATGTGGTCACAGGACACCCCCCCCCCCCCTTAGGATGAGGAGGCCAAAGCAAGGCACCCGTTGTTCAGCATAGGTAGTCCTCAACTTATGACCATGATTCCATTGCTAAGCGAGAAATTTGTTCTGAGTTTTGCCCCGTCGTGTGACTTTCCTCGCTGCATTTGTTAAAGCGAAATCCCTGCCATTCTGCCAAATGAGTTACATGGTCATTAAGCGAATCTGGCTTCCTCCGTTGACTCTGCCGGTCAGCAGGTCACAAAAGGGGATCACGTGACGCCAGAACACTGGGACCGTTGTAAACGTGAGTTGGTTATCAAGCGTCCGGATGTAAATTGCGTGGCCGTGGGGATGTGGCAGAGGTCAAGTTTTTTCAGCGCCATTGTAACTTTGGTCACTAAATGAACTGTTATAAATTGAGGACTATATGTACAGTGGTTGGATTTTTATTTGCCACAATTCACTGGGTTCACAGCTGTTTTTCCCCATGTTCAGCTCAACCAGACATAGTCTTGTTTATGTGGTTTACATGTGGGGGAGGGGGGCTAGCAAGTGACATCCCCCCCCCTATGATAACGCAGCCCTGCCATGCTGGGAGAAGGAGGCCTGGTCCCCGTCCCAGCCTGAGACAAGGAAGGCGGCTTGGCGGGCTGGGGGGTTCCCTCTCAACCTAACCCACAGTACCAGGGGGCGGGGGAAGAGAGGTATCCTACGGAAAAAAGGCAGAACGGAAGTCGAATGAAT